AAACAATTTCTCAGAGCCTTTAATATGTTAAAGTAAATTGGAAAACAGCTAAAAGGGAACACATTCTACAGGTATTCCTCATACTTTTGACCATAGAAATATTTTTTCCAGGTGAACCCCTTGAAACTTGTGTTTTGTAGACTATATCGAGTTCTAGGTAATTTTTCTCTAATCAAGAAAAGAAAGAAAAGGTTTTCTGTATTCACATCTTTTCATCGCGGGCAGGCCCAACCCTGTCCACACCAGTCCATTCCTAGTCCTGTTGGGCTCTAGGATGTTCCAGTATTAGCATGCCTCTTTCCCAGATAAGATATGTCCACTTTCAGAAGAAAAGAAAAAAAAAAACCCCACACATACAAAAAACCACATTCTCATTTTTATTGCCAATAAAGCTGGTGTTGAAGAACGTGGCTTCTAAAAGGAGCAAATAGGTTTCCTAATCTGAAACCCAGAATTAGATTGAGCTCCATCCAGTTGCAGGATATGCTGGGCCGGGGCAGGCTTCCCACGTGAGAGGAAGTCCCTGTGGAAGGTCAGAGCGGAGGGAGCCATGTGTTCTCTGTGGTCTTCCCATTCTCAAGACAAGGGGAAAAGGGAGGGGCAGAACCACATAGCCAAGTCCTCCCAAATCACCAACCCCAGGACTGGAGTAAAGGGAGGCCTGGTGCCAAACCCCCCCTCACTACCAAGGCCCCCACCCAAACAAGTTTGTTCTAGGTGACCCAAATAGGCATGTGGGTTCCCTTCTCATCACTGGGGATTTCTCTCTTTTCCATCTTCCCTTATCCCTAAGTGCTCACTCTTCACTGCCATCTCTCTTCTCAACTCAATTCACCCAGTAGAAGGGATCATGATGAGAGTCTAATGACTGTCCCTTCCTCATCTCCTTATGGAATTCAAACACAATTCAGCCTTTTATCTGAAAAGGTGGAGTACATATATTCTCTAATACGGGATCAGGAAATTACAGCCTGGCAGTGGTCTTTATAAATACAATTTTATTGGGACACAGCCTCCCTCATTGGTTTATATATTGTCTGTGGCTGCTCTCAGCTACAATGGTAGAGTCAAAAAGTTGCAGCCAAGAAAGTGTGGCCCATAAACCTAAAATGTTTTCTCTCCAGCTGTTTACAGAAAACAGTAGCCAACCCCTAATCTAAAATATAGATGAATTTCACTTCAGTTCTTTAAGTCCTGAAAGAGCTTCATTAGTATGTATACGTAGCCTCTATCATTTACTCACTCTAAATAAAAACTGTATTTTTTTAAACCAAGAAAATGGCACCCTGTAGTATAAGAGGGATTTTGCCTCTTAGGAAATTTTCTCGCCTTACAAACTTCTAGAAAAGTATCCAGGGGACTGTGCTTGCTCTGAAGGACTGGAAGAAGGACAGCGGCTTGCCCTGGTTAGAAGTATTTACAATCATCATTGGAAAGGGATGAGAACAGATAATCTGTGGGGCCTGCGGCAGAACAAAGGAATAGAGAGAAGGATCTAGCAGTGATGGCGAACCTATGACACACGTGTCAGAGGTGACATGCGAACTCATTTTTTTGGTTGATTTTTCTTTGTTAAATGGCATTTAAATATATAAAATAAATATCAAAAATATAAATCTTTGTTTTACTATGGTTGCAAAGATCAAAAAAATTCTACATGTGACACGGCACCAGAGTTAAATTAGGGTTTTTCAAAATGCTGACAGGCCGATCTCAAAAGGTTTGCCATCACTGGTCTAGGGGCCCAGGGCGTTGGACCAGCCCAGGATCCTGTCTTCAGAGAGCAGGAGCCCTAGCTCTTCTCCTCACACCCTGCTCCCTAACTCAGAGAGGTGCTTCCCCACCTCAGCCCATCCCTCAGAACCTTCCACAGAATCCCCAGAGATGGCGACACCGGGTTCTGGTCCTACCGAGACTGCCTTCTACCTGGGAGATCTGGGCATTTCACCGAGTGCTCTGGCCCTGAGGGCTCACTCACCAGTAATCTGGGGGCTTGGGGTGGGGAGAACGTTTTACTGAACCAGAGCAAGAATTCAGTGTGGTGGGATCCAGAAGGCTTTATGAAATATGAAGTACTGTGAGATGGTGGTGGGTTTTGTTCTTTTGAAGCAGCTGATTTGCCAATGAAAATTTTGAATCTATCCAGCATGTAAATTAGAGCTAACTGATGTTTGAAAACTAAAGTACCTTATTTCACATTTGTCACATGCATCTTTCTTTTATAAAAGTGCCTAACTTTCATGTGGGTTATAAAAAAATGGACAAAATAACTGAATTTTTACCATGACAGAATAATTCGTCAGTGGGAGGAATAAAACTTTAAAACTTTATTTCTTTGTGACTTTTCTTTTCTGCTGTTTGTGTAGTTTTCCTTTTGTGCCTTTGTTTATAGAGACTCTTGCAAAAGGCATTTTTCCTTGTAATCAGTTATTGTTCTATCTGAGTCATCGCCAGACATGGCATTTCAGTCATTAGTGATTCTAGAGTCGCTTCCAGGCAGATGTGCTGTGTGATGCTGGGAACACTGGTGATAGCCGTTCTGGCTATTGAGGCTGTAGGAGAACCAGGGAAAGTCTTGTATAGATACACACCTTGAAATCAGAAAGTGGCAAAGGAAGCACATTGAATGCTTTTAGCCAAATGATTTTAGCCCAATAAAGTGTTCGTGTGGCTGTGGGATGGAGTAGTAATCATTTTGAAAGGTTAAAAAAAAAAAATCGTTCTTGAGGTTAAAAAAAAAAAAAAAAAAAAAAAAAAAAAAAAAATCGTTCTTGAGGTTTTTTTAACCTAAAAGGCAACAAAGCTTTCATTTCCGGTGATTTGTATTTTCCTAGCATCATGCATGGGCGTTATGAAACACACCCTGACCTCATTGTACATTACCTTGGCTATTCATGCTGCCATGCTCTCCGCCCATAGCCAAGCAAACTGAACTCCTTGTTCATTGGTATTGCTGCCTGGGATCTGCTTATCCCTAACTTCCAGAGAGAAGCGGGTTTCTGAAAATAAGACTCTTCTTTATAAGCAAATAAATGGTTTAAACACTTAAAAATCAAAATAGTTTAGTGATAGCCTAGGTCCCAAAAGTAGGTTGATTTAATTTTCAATTAAAACTATTATCTTTTTCATATAAATATTCATTAAATTGATTGGGGTGACATTGGTCAACATGAACATGTAGGTTTCAGGTGTGGGTTTCTATGTTACAAGATCTGTATATTGTACCATGTGCCCATAACCCAAAGTCAAATCTTCTCCTGTCACCTCATATTAGGACCCCCTTCTCCCCCACCTACTTCCCTCTGGCATTTACCACACTGCTGTCTGTGTTCTCGAGTTTCAGTTTTGTATCCAACATATGAGTGAAATCATACAGTTCTTAGCTTTTTCTGATTGATTTCACTTAGCATAATGTTCTCAAGGTCCATCCATATTGCTGCAAATGGTTAACTGTATTATCTTATAGATGTAACCCAAAAGTTCCTAATGCTTTTGTTTTAATATGATTTTTAAAAAAAATCATTAATTGTTTTTAAAACCTAATAAGTTATGCCCCAATTATGGATCACTGGTAATAATACATTATAATGGTATTTCATAAATTTGCCTTTTAGGTTTCACAAATATGTTTTAGAAGAAAGAGACTAACTGGATGCTGAAATACAGTTTTTATTACATACCATTTAGTATTACTTTGTCATAGTTTTATAGACTAGAAACCATAAAGAGAAGTTCACTAATTCAGCTAGTGTTTATTAAACACCTATTATGTGCTCTGTCCTGGCCAGCTATTTATGTTACATATAGCTGAGAACAAAGCTTTTAGGCTGGAGTATGTATTAATGTGCTTGGATTTTAAACACTTTGGGGAGTTCCTTTATCCTAAGTAAAATAACTGTCTTAAGTAAATAAACTACCAATTTAATTATTGCTTCATGATTTTAGAATTTAACAGAATTTTATTTAATCCTTTAAAATTTACACAAGGTTCTTTCTTCCTTGGTAAACTCAACTTTTGTATTTCATAGGGAAAAGTTAACCTCAGCCTTTCTTACTTTCATACTTTATCTCCAATCAAGACCTGTGTCCTTCCTTCTATTAACAAATTCCTAACCTTTAGTATCAGCCAAGTCATCTTCTATGAATTTTGTAATTAACCTGTTGTGGACATTCCTGAGCTGGCTTAATTTTATGGGACAAGCAATTTACAAATGACTAAGTTAACCCCTCATTATGCTTGAAAGAAATAGGCTAATTGTTTCTTTACTTGCCCTGTGTTAATCACGGATCATTAGTGATAATAAATAAAAATCGGCCATTAACAAATTAGATTATGCTCATACTTACCTATGTTTGTGTTTGTCCTGTGTCCTTGGAGCCAGCCTAGTCACCAACTTCCTTTAGTAGCATAACTCACCCAGGCACAGCCTTAGGAGTCAAAGTATAACTGAGGGCCAGTTTATGAATTTGCTCGTTATTCTTTCCTGCTGTAAAGATTGTTCAACATTTGGTTAATTATTACATGCAAATATATGTATCTACTTAGAGGCAAATCCACAGATATACAAAACCTTATAAAGCATAAACCTTATAAAAAACTAATTTGGAGGACAGTTATATTATAAAGACTTTTAATTTGAAAATAATTTGTCTTATCTTTAAATTATCAACTTTCCTAGTTTATTTGAAATATGACTTGATTTTCAAAATGTGAATTCACTTCATTTGTCCAGTGTAAACCTTTATATAACAGGATATATTTCTGATTTACATTGTATGTATGCGTGTGTATTTATGTATGTGTGTGTGTATTTGATATCTGAGACCTCAATAAAATTACTATTCTTAAAAATTCACTTATTTACTTTTAACAAAGGAAATAGTAGTTGATTCCATAATGTGAAACATATAATATCAAAAGATATTTCAAAGAAATAGAAGACAATTTGGCCTCAATGAGATGATAAAGTTTTCTATTTTGTTTTTCTTTTGCTTCTTAGGAGAGACAGAAAATGAGCAGAGAATGGCAGCAAGAGGTACAACTTCAGAAGTAGAAGGCGACCAACCGGTAAGTGAAACTCCCTATGAGTCCTTTCGGGGCGAATCTGAACGAGTCACGGTGACTATATATTTCTCTGAGGATGAACAATCACTTCTACTCTTGCTATGCAGACTGGTGTCTAGGTACCAAGAAACAAGTCATCTGCTCTAAGTCAGGGATGACAATAAAGCATGACTTCCCAAGCGCTAAGCTTTCCTTGTGTTGGAAATAGAAACTTCCTGCTGAAAAAAGAGAAATAGAACATTCAGGTTAAAACATCTGAACTATTTTTAACTGAGTGGTTATTTTCTAATACATTTGAATAAATAGATAATGTGTGAACCTATAGGGGAAGGTTTGAAAATAACCTATTGGGAACTGTATTACATTACCATTTCCAGCATCAGAATGCAGTCCTTGACGTTGTTCTGTAGAAAGACTAGGGTATTTGTTCTTTTCCACATGAAAAAGCTATTTGCTCCTTGAGAGTTCTTGAAAATGTCATCAGGACACTTTGGTGTACTATGTAAAAATGTACTAATTTTATTTAATCACCGAAATAATGTTTAAGACTTAGGGGGAATGTTAATTTTTAGGGCGGAAGGGATATCCATGAGTTTGGAAACTTTCTACATGGTGACATACCTCTACTTACATTCCACTGTAGCGCATAAGAGTATTGCTGTATACAGTGGAGTGGGGTCAGGGGCCTGGCCTGTTTGCTTCATCTCCATATCCCCAAAGCCTAGCACAGAGTAGACAGTCAAGATTTGTTGAACGAATGCATGAATGAATATAATCATGAATTGTAAGTAGCCAGTAATATGTGTTTTAAGAAGAGATATTTTTATTTTTTATATTCAGATTTTCCATAATGAATGAATGTTTTATAATCAAGAAGAACTTATTTAAAGAGAGATGTAGGGAGGAAATTTATGCAGAGGAAGAAAAGTGTCGTCTTTCCCATAAAACTGCATTAGTTTTTCATTCATGTGTACAAATATTTATTAAGCACTGACTGTCTTCAAGGCACCGTATAAGGAGTATACAGTGGTGAAAAAACACAGATACAAGGACAAAGAAATACGTTCCCTCTATACATTGAAGTAGCTTGATCTCTTTCATGTATTCAAACATTTTGTGACTGCTGACCATAAGTAGCATCTTTGATGGGAAATAAAGGTTGGTGTATTTGAACTTTGGGAAAAAACCACCAGAATGGTTTAGAAATCATCCATAATTATTGAGTTTAATTGCTTAGTTATGTGATTCACTGGGAATGTCTGAAGTACTTGGTTATCTTTCAAAGTTGATTCATTGATGGAAAGAATTCCAAGGTTAATAACTCTTAAGGGAAGAAACTTTTGAGATTATGATCCTCCCATGCTCATTATTGTGCTGTTTTCTAGTCTATTATACAACCAGTTCTTAAAGAGTGGATTTGTATACTCATGCTGTAAGAGGTATTTCAGAAGTGCCTTTTATTTGAGTGGCGGCTGGACATTCAGAGGGTAGTGTTTGCTATCAGAGAGCTTACTTATGTAGCAAAAAGTAATGGGGAGACTGCAAATGAGACCACAGGGGTAAATCCAGTACAAGAGGCTAATAATAAAGTCCTTTAGAGTCTGTGTGTGATTTGCCACAGAAAAGCCAAATAATCATTTACCTCAACCTTCAGTGTCTAAAATGGAATTCATTCCTCTCCTTTAAAGACCCCAAAACAAAAACATTGCTGCATGTTCCCCACCATCGCCCCATCCCACAGTCTCCCTTGACCAGTCAAGGTAAATCTTATCCAGTCTCATGGTGTAATATCTATGTAGCCCTGGCCTGTTTTTTTCATTGGTTAGAGCACCAGCCATGGACTGAAGGTTTGCAGATTCCATTCCGGTCAAGGGCACATACCTTGGTTGCAGGCTAGATCCCCAGCTCCTGTCGAGGCACATGCTGGAGGCAACCAATGGATGTGTCTCTCTCACATCGATGTTTTTTTCTCTCTATCTCTCCCCCTCCCTTCCACTCTCTCTATAAATCAATGGGAAAATATCCTTGGATGAGGATTAACAATGAAAAATAAATTAAATAAAATAAAAATATTTTTAGTTAGAGGCTGATGACTGCCAAAGTCTATCTGCATCTAGACCTATCTCCTGAACTCTACACTATGTCCAACTGCCTACTTACTGTTTCCCTTACAAGTTTCTACCATTCAGCCTTTACTTGACCAGAGAAGAACGGTTGATTCTTGGCCCTGCCACCCTGAGCTTCTGTCTGCTTAACTTCCCACTAACTCTGTTGAATATCACCATCCTCCCCATAGTGGGTTAGAATCCAAACCCCTGAGGTTCCTGTCTTTCCCTCACACTCCACAGCCAGTCCATCAGGAAGCCTGTCACCTCGCCCTCTATGCCCAGAATCTGACATCTGACCCCTTCTCAACATGGTACTGTTAGAACCAAGTCTAAGCCTCCACTTTCTCCAGGACTCTCTGCCTTCATTCTTCCCCCTTAAGTCCATTCTCCATACAACAGACAGAAATATAAACCAGATCACATCCTTCCTGCTGGCTGAGCTGCAGACTGTGGCTGCACGGAGTTCCGTGTGCGCTGCAGTCTCATTTTCCTCTGCACCCTGCAAGCCCCACCCCATCCCCAGCTGCCTTTCTGTCCCTTGACCACCTAAGCTCTTTCCCACCCCAGCCTCTGCATTTGCTCTCCCTTCTTTATCACAGCTTCGCTAGGCTGCCTCCTTATCCAGGTCTTCACGCCTGTCACTCTCACATAACCCTCTTTTCTCCAGCCTGTTTATCACCGTCTCAGATTAGTCATTTGTTTACTGTCCGCCTCCCCTGAATACAATGAAAACAGACCTCCTGTGCCGTAAACAGTGTCTGTACATAGAAGGTGCACAATAAATACACATTAACTGGCAATCTATATTTTACTTAATGTCATCAACTGTCTGCCAAGTTCAAGGCCTAAAATGACCATTTTGACTCATCAAATCTATCATCAAGTCCTGTTGATGCTATCTCTCAAATATCTTCCAAATCTGCTTCCTCATACTCCAACTAGGTCCTCATCTGTTCGCCAAACTGTTGTTAGACAAGCAGTTTCGTACCCAAACCTAGCAAGTTGTGTTACTTCTGACCCCCCAAATGTATTGAAATCTGCAGAATAAAGCTTAACCCTAAAACCCTGTTCAAATGGCACCTCCTTTGTGAGCTCTTTTCCCTGCTCCCTCAGCCAGAGATGACTGACTACAAGGTCCTGTTACCGCTTGCTCGTGCTGTCTGGAAGGTGGAGAGTACACCTTTATTAGCTCATAGCCTCAGCCACGAAGGAACTGTTCCGCCTGTGGTGTGACACAGTCCCTGCCAATGATTTCTGGGTGGATAAATGAACAAATAAGTGGCCCCCTGCAAGTGCTGTCTTATGAGCAGATCTCTTCCTTAAATTCTGTTTCCACCTTCTATTTTAAACACACAATTGTTTTTTCCTCTCTGTAAACAATAATTATATTTCTTAGGCGTTACCCATTTAAAAAATCTGTTGATTTACACTATTTTGGGTACTCTTACAACACCAGCAAGGAAAAGTGTAATGATTTCAGTTAGTTTTTTTTTTTTAAAGATATACATCTGATTAAGAAGTGATTCTTGTACCTAGCAGGAAAGATTCTCATTGTTTTAATTTTTAATGGCTATACAAGAAATGTTGAAATATTATTTAGTATGAGAACATATGTGGTAAATTAGTATGGATTCTGTAAGGCTTAAAACTAACACTCTTAGTTGTCAAAATAGAACTCATTTTTTCTAAGGACCCTTTGAAGGTGGCTTTTAGTTTAACAAAATAAGGTTTTTGGAGAATTCAGATACACATGTAGATTGCTTACTATTTTCAGGGAATTGTTAGACATGGGGTGGAGAGGACATAGAGATATATAAGGCTCTGTGACTCCCACTTATGGAAGCAGACATTTTCTATCTATGGATAATTAGAAAACTCTACAAGTCACTATAATATAATGTGGAATAAAATAACTGATATTTCAAAGGAGGAAGAGATATCATTACTGAGAGTGAAGAAAGGCTTCAAGCATGATGTATTTTGAATCATGACAATTTTTTATTATTTATACAATCAATTTTTATATTACTAAGATAGATTTTTGTGAAATAAAATTCTTCATTAAGAACATTTGAAAAACACAGAAGCAAATCATGGTATGTAACTTCCTCTTCGATGACAGATAATAAAGGGTTAAAGAAATATAATGTGTCTGCGCTACACTGTAGTTTTTTTTAATGGAAGTTAAAATATTTTGTTAAGTAGTCTGTGATATTTTCCCTTACACTTTGCAGACCAGGTATACTTCAAAACTGTGTTCCCTCTCCAAGTACAGCTCTCTCACCGACATCATGGAAATTCTAACATCTAGGTGGAATATAATTTGAAAAAAGGAGATCTAGTTTAGGCATCAAATACGTTAATTTTTACAGAGTTGAATTATGAGATATTTTAATACCTTTACACCAAAGACTATGAAAAGCAGCATATTTATTTGCATTGGGTACTGAGTGGGACTTTTTACTTTGTGAAACTAAAAATAGTGCAGCTTTCATTCCAGAAAATTATTTCTCAGTTTGTCTCTTCTTCACTCCCCCTTGCAGTTTTTCTCAATGATGACTTAAATTAGTTACTACTGTTTTTGCTTTAGTGTTCCCTATATGATCCCAAAGTATTACCATCTAAAATAGGATAACGTAGGGAAACACTGAACTAATTTAGTCATCACATACAGTTTCTCTCAAATTGTGCTTTAGTCTGCATTTTAAGAGCCATTGGTAATTTTGAACAGAATTCACCATATTTTGGGTGTATAGCCAGTGTAAGCTCCTGCAATCCCGTGTTTGGGCTTACTAAAATTAGTCATTAGACTCTAGTACTAGTACTTGGAGGAAAAAAGTTATAATTTGGGACTAATTATGCAATCGGAGGACGAGCCACCTCGTTCTGTTTTTG